ATAACAGTCCCGCTTGCCGAGGTTAAGATATAGGTTATTGCTCCAACAAAGATAACTAAAAAACTACTCTAAACTCTTTGATCACGAATAGATGTGTTCTCGTCGACTTCATACACTAATACTAACGCTAAGTGGAATTGAGACGTGTTGTAACTAAGTGAAACGTTAAGGATATGACGTAACTAATAATAGATACAAAAATAAAGTGTTCGTGGGCGGGGCTGATAAGCCTTCCTTTACAGTATCATATAAGAAGCCATGAAGCCCAACCTCTTATAAGATATGTTCATTACTTTTTATCAGTTATTGGATAATGTATGTCACATATTTTTCAAAAAGCATAATCTGTTGACGTACATTGATTTTATTTTATGTTGCAAATGCTGTTTTTGATATTATGTAAACTCAGACATTTTAACGGCTTGTTGTGATATTGTATTTCCAGAAATTATCCATACTTCCCACCTAACCCCCACAGAGGAATTTGGAATTTCCAAGGGGTAGGCCTATAGGGGAGGGGGGGGATCAGAGAAAGAGCAAAATTACAGAGTTCGTATGGAAGAAAATTTGAATTTCCTGGATGGGGGGATCTTAAAAAACTATTCCTCCATAGGGGAGGGAGAGGGTATGGATAATATCTGGAAATACACATTGACTTTTACGTCTGCTACATGTCAAAAATATAATGGGTAGCAACTGATTTGTTTTGATTGACAGCAACGAAAAACCAAATTAATTTTACTCTGCAGCTCTCAACTACTGCAGTTATCCTCCACTATTTAGGGTGCTCTCGTTGTCCAACTGAGTGAGTTTCACAAAGAAGAATAACATTATTTTTTATGTGCTAGGTGGTTATGGAAGTGGCTATGGAAGTGGCTATGGAAGTGGCTTTGGAACAGGAATGTATGGAAGTAGTTTTGGAGGAATGGGCGGAGGAATGTATGGAGGAGGTATGCATCAAGAAAAGAAGTTTTTTTAAGGTTTTAGGGTTCAATCTGTGAGTTAGCTGTGCCTTGACTTAGATTAGCACAGAGGTTGTTTCAGGGTTCAATAAAGTTATATGTACAATCTTAGGCAGTTTGCAGTAATTCTTCTGCCTTCCTATTCAATGAAATGAAAACCAAAATTAAACCCTGTTGATGTAAAAGAAAAGGATTTCTTGACGTTTACAACTTCAATGCAAACTAGACATCTGAATGTTGTACAAGGTGGTAGAAAGCTAAATAGCTAGTGATCTATTAGTGCCCAGAAGAATGCAAGAGAGGGCCATTAAATTTCTACTCGGTCAAAAAGGAGGCTATCAAATATTTGATGCTACATAAAGAAGAGTTACAATAATCCAACAAATTTCAAGGGGAGGGTCACGTTTTTATGCAGACAGAAGAAAGGGGGGTCTAAAGATTTTATATTACTGTTTATTCCTCCAGCCCACCTCCCCCCTCCCCCCTCCTGAAAAATGAATGCTCCCTAATGAAACAAATCCTTGCTCAAAGGTTATGGTGGAATGTATGGAGGAGGCCTTGGTGGATATGGAAGCTACAATAGAATTGGTGGCCAATACGGTGCTCAAACCAGCCCATTCATACGAAGGGCAGAAGAGAGCAGTCAAGCAGCATTCCAATCTGTGGAATCCATTGTACAAGCTTTTGGTTCGATTTCAATGATGCTGGAATCCACACATTTTGCGATGCTCAACACATTCAGAGCAGTACTTGGTGCTGCTGATCACTTCAGTAGACTCAAAACGCACATACTCGGTGCTATCGGAGCTATAGCAATAGTAAAAACAATGAAAACCCTGTGCAAGAAACTTCTGTATATATTAGGATTAATTAGGAGCACAGGAGTAGAGAATGAGGTTTGGAGTGAAGCACAGTCGACTGTTGTGGCTGCTGCAAGTGCCGAAGGAAAGGATGGAAAGGCAACCAAGTCATGGCCTATAGTGATGTTTTTTGCCGTTGTGATGGGGGTACCTTGGGTCATTTGGAAACTACTGAGATCTTTAACACCTGAAGAAGATAGTAGCAGGGACTGGATGACAGGTATATATGATTGAAATAATAAATATATTCACTGTATATAGAGGATATTACATGGGCGCACGGAGATACAAATTTTATCTTCGAGTGTTCAATTGATATCTCGCGAGAGAGCACAGCGAACAAGTGAGATATCTAAATTGAACACCAGAAGATAAAATTTGTATCTCCTAGCGGCCATGTAATGTTCTGTTTATTATATAGATATCGATGAAACTTAAATAAAACAAAGGCTCAAAAATTCTTTATTAAAATAGCAAGCCAATTCAACAGCGATATCTTCACGTGTGAAAGATATGGTATCTTCCACTGGTGAAAGATATCAAGTTTTCGACACTAGAGAAAACCTGGTATTTCATCGATATCTATATAATAAAACCAATTACATGTAGTTGAATGTTGCAATTCCAATATTATCAGGAGTGGCTGTGCCGCTATGAACTTAATTATGATAACGGCCTTTGTTGTCGTTGGTTTCTTTTTTGTTTGATTCAGGACCTACTGAAATGTTTAATATTTTAGTATTGTTGTGGAAAATTGGTTTTACAGAACGACAATTCTGCATTATGATGGTAACCGGTCATGATGCCCCCACGTAAACCATAACGGCCCCAGTCTGTACTACCATAATGCCCCCAGCATAAACCATGACGCCCCTAGTCTCTATTAACACTTATTTAATAAGATGTTTAATGATAATAATATGGCATCACGAACCCATGTAAATCGGACACTATTGGAGTTGTTTCAGGATCGTTACGGTTTTAAATAACTCGTCAAACATGGTTTTAAATGGGTTTGCTACCAATTTCATTGATGATTGAGATTGATTATCTTCTTACAGTTCCTATGTACCTTTAATAATGATTCCAATTTTTTTATATAATAATTGTCTTGATTAACTGTAGTCTATTTCAGATTAGTAATTTTTCATAAGTGTTTGTCTCAATCAGCATTTAGCGCCAAAAACAGCGTAAAACATCTGTAAAGTGTTCTTTGTCCAAGTGTTAGTTGCTCATTGTTTCAAATTCTGTCGTTAGGTGCTGGAGATCATGTGCTTGGAAGGGTCGAGTTTGACTTTGTTGGTGAAGCTGAAGATGAACTGTCTGTCTCAGCAGGAACTGTTATCAAAATGGCTCCCAAAGACAGACAGCCTCGCCTGAGGGGTTGGCTGTTGGCTACTGTAGATGGAGAAAGGGAGGGAATTGTTCCTGCTAACTATGTTAAGGTAAGTCTTTATCATCAAATGAATTGAGAGCTCATAAATATCTTAAGTTTTCAATCAGGATTCATAATATGACTAATGTATATGGTTGTGACTGATTTTAATTACTGCAATTTTTATGAACATGCAAACTCTTTGTCTGCAAGCTGCATGCTGAAGTTTGGTTTTTCGCTGCCGTCAATCCAACCTAATCAGTCGGTACCTTTCATATTTTTGACTGGTGGCAGTGAAAAACCAAATTTCAGTGTGCAACTCGGAGATGCAGAGTTTGCATATTTATGAAAATTTACCAATGGCCCTCGTCATTTTTTCACCAATGAAATCTCTTTCATATAGCTAACTTTATTTACCATTTCAAAATCAGATACTTGGACTTCAGCGTGGTACTAAATCCAAAGCACAGGGACCTGCTCCTACATCTGCAACACCAGCAGTTCCACCTGCAACACCTTCAACTTGTAACCCCACTAGTGATAGATGTAGCAGTAATGCTGACTTAGGGAGTGAATTCACAGAAGCATCAAATGCACCAACAAATACCGATGCAAATCCCAATTCACTTGAACCGTCTTTTAATGATATGAACTTTGAAATGCCAGACGATTCAGAGATGAATTTGATTGATGCTGATGGTCAGACTTGATTGGATTCAGATCTAAACTTTCAGTCAATCTACTCATGAAAGCATAAAATCCTAGGCTTGTCTGGCTTCAGAAATGTAAAAAGTGTTATATTTTGAATCATAATATATTTAAATATAACACGTGCTGATTGGCTCTAAAATTTTATATCAGAGAAAAGAGAGCACACAGTAATGCAAAATTGTTCAAAAGCAATAGAAATGCTTTGACCATGCCTAGTGTTCATAAGCATGGTTATCTCATACTCTACACTACTCTACTGTTTATATCATGATACAGAGATATAAGCAGCAGTTTTATATTTCTTGAAATAATAGTTAAAATTAATGAAGGCCTACACAATGAAATAACTTTAAAACGCTTTATTCATTTGACTCAAAAGATATGATTTAAGAGACATCTTATTGATTGTATGTAGTGCTATGAATTAATTTTAATTTGGGTTCTGTTGATGAGTCTTGTATATTTATGATTATCACAGATCCCTTTTAGCAATTCCTGGAGCAGTTCTACCTCTGAGTGCATCCTTTCCATCCCTACCCAAAAGAATTGAGAGGACAAGATACATGACCGCCATGTTGGTTGATATAACAAGAGATACCAAGACCAAATAATCATTTGTTCAAGTCAACCAACATGGTGGCTATGATGTCACATGCACAAGGACAAAAGACGTGCGCCATGTTGGATGATATAACAAGAGAAACCAAGACCAAATCATTTGTTCAGGTCAACCAACATGGCAGCTATGTCGTCACATGCACAGGGACAAAAGACATGTCCGCCATGTTGGTTGATGTAACGAAAGAAACCAAGACAAAATCATTTGTCCAAGTCAACCAACATGGCAGTTTAGATATGAAGGACACAACATTAGATTTCAATTCTGAGACTAGTAAAACTGTATTGAGAATATGCAACAATTCATACTTTACAATATTTATGTACTTTGCTGTTCACTAAACCACTTTTACCAGCTGACATTCCTAACAGTGACGAGCCTGATAATCGAAAATATACCAATAATATAATTTGTTAAATAAATTATTAGTGGTAGGGAATATGAGATTTTACTTTCCCTGTGAAGCAGTTAGTAGCCTATAGATTGTAGTAGACACCAAATTATTGCCTTGTTTTGTTTTCTCTAAAACATTAATCACTATTGTTTTTGTCTCACAAGAAAGTAAAATACTCTAAAGGTTTTCAGATTTTTCAAATCAAAAATTTTATTCTAGTCAAGTACTAATAAAAGTACTGCTGCTCTTAAATATGGTATTCATGTAGTCATGGTTGGATTGTTGTTAGAAATTTTAGCATCCTTTAAGACTGTTAAATGCAACAACTGTACCAGTTACACCAAACTGCAGAAGAAGCATGAACAGAACCAGGGGGGTTCCTGCAGCACCCTTTCCCAAAGGTAGATTATTTATAGCATTTATGTTTTTGGAGGGATGGATATGTTGAATGGGGAGTGACCCCCTTATTTAAAACCCTGCATGTGCCCTTGTTGCATAGTACACCATCAAATAACCAGACATTCTAACCAGTTTCAAAACACTTCAAAAGGATTTATAATGTCCATTCAACATTAGTGTCAGCTTGTCCAAATTCATTCCAATACATAATGCTGGTCAAAAGCTTAACTCTCAAATCTTATTAGTTGACCTTGTTTTTCTTTGGAAGGTCAACTCGGCCAAAGTTCGACATGGGTGCATAAGACAAGTATATAAGGCTTTAATAGATTTTCATGTAAGATTTTTGTTATTCAGATATTGTTCTTGTACATTTGACATTTTCCCTTGTAGCATGGTTTACATGTCGTCCATAATCTCTTCATCATCAGGATTGTCATCATCGCCATCAACTTCTGCATTCTCCTTCTCAAGCCTTTCCATTTGTTTTGCCAACTCTATTTCATCTGTTTCTGTCACTACTTTAGGTGGAGCTTTCTCAGTAAACTCTCCTCCTGACTTCTTTATTGAGGTTTTTATTGCGTCTACTGCTTGTACGAGGCTTTTCAGTCCTTCCTCATGGTCCAGGGTTGTAGTTGTGATTACATAGAGAGGTGCAGCTATAAGGTTTACCTGTCATCAAGAAAATCAACAAACATGAATCAGAATTGAACACTCGTTTGAATACTGAAAAAATGCCAAAGTAAAGAGAAAATTTGGAACAAAAATGTAGGTGTAACATGCTTACAAAGAGAGAAAAGGACAAAGTGCAAGACCACCATGTCTTTTTGCATAACGGGAAACAAGACCGATTTTTTGCTAAAGACTGATTTTTTCGTTTTTCAAAAAATATAACAGCTTTTTTTATTGCTGTCATGCTAATGGTTTAAGTAAGTTTAAAACACCGTTCTCATAATGGCTGACAAGCCCACAAAAACTAGGCCACCCAGTCATCTTGCAAGGCTGAGCAAGGCTGCTCATACAAAATAAAGGTGGATAGCACGAATTCAGGTCAAAACAAAATGTCAGTTTCTATACTTTTCTCCTATAAACACATTTCATGTGCTTCTATATCTTCTAAACTAATGACTGGTTGACCTCATTTTTGTGCACTTGTCAGCCATTATGAGAACGGTGTATGATCTCATAAAGTTTCAAAGTTAACCAGTCACTGACAGTGTTGTAGTGTCCCAAATGAATAATATTTTCAAAAAATCAATGCTATTGCTGTTACCTTGATTGGTATTTCTTCGGTGGAGCAATCAAGTCCCTTCCTTAATGCTTGTTTTACAGCATCGATTCCCTCATAACCATAACAAGCCACCTCCAGGTCGGCACGAATCTTCACAGCTTGTGGTGTTAGTCTTCTCTTGATGTTTGCAAGAAGAGTTTCTTTGGTCTTTTCATCAAGATCCAATTCATCTAAAACTGCGGGATCTCTGTTTTGAAAAATATTCAAAGAAAAAGTATGATCAGAATTCAGGATTTGCAAACCTTTTACCACTTTTCATTGCTACCTGCTGAGCAACACCCCAGTGGTGGCATCTGTCAATCAAAAAAATCTTTAGGCTAGTGTCTAATGCACCTTTTTGTAGTTCCCATGTACCCAATGTGTAATAATCTATTTGATTGACAGTAGAATATTGCATGATTTCCATGTCGCAACTGATGTCTCAATCAGCTCATAGCAATGAAAGCTGTGGCAATGTTTTTGCAAACCCTGAATTCTGATCAACATTCATTATTTATTATTAAAACTCTCCTGAATTCCTATGCTTCTTGTATTTAGATATCATAAAATCGTACTTACGCTACAGCGAGTTTAAAAGCATCATATGAGCTGCCAGGGGTTTTGTATTTTTGGTCAAAGTACCAAGCTGTCTTCTCGTAGAGCTCTTCAAGTTGATCATCTGATTCATATCCCAGGATTTCTGAACAATGTCTTAAAATACTGTATACCTGGCAACGTAATATTTATTTGTCAATGAAATTATCGAAATGAGCTCAGTCAAACTCCATCAAAACATGCTCCGACGAAGGACTAACGTCTGAAACGTCAGTTTCACAAAGCTTTTTACGGTGATCCAATAATCTACAATTTTCTACTGTTTTATTCAGAAACACCGACTCAGTCCATGCTAGTTCTACTAGTTATCACCACTCCACTAAGACATGCAAGAGAAAGTGTTGAAAATAACTCCATTTGGGATTAAACTCAAAGATTTTGATAAAACAAGATGTCTCAGCTATATCTGAAGACAAGTTTTATCAAATCTGTGTTAAATCCAAAATCCTTGCATTCAGTAAAGATATTTTTTGTTTAATAGCTGGGAAATTTGAACATGAAAGGATTCCTGATATCGATGTTTGTAAACCATGAAAGTGTATAGTGGGAAATACAGTCTAGGTAATCATTTTGTTTATAGATTGTCTCAATCAGCACAATCAAAACAGTGGTAAGTACATAACTTTCTACTTTGTCACATTTTCTCTTTACCGTTTTAGCTTTTGTAAACTTTTCTTCGCACTTCTTTACTTCTTCTGGGGAAACACGTCTTTTTGATAAATCTATGTAGCCTGCAAATATCATAACGATGTGTCACATAGGAATTAGAATTTATATTTACTGGTAATCAGAGGCGCAAAGCAAAAAATTCCCACTTTTAATCATACAATATCATTGCTAGTATCTTGAGCCCTATATTTTGTGTATACATGCTTCGCACCATCATGTGATGGCAGTCATGACAGGAGGCAGGAACAATTGAATCTGGTCTAATCTGGTTTATATGACAAAGAATTCAGTTTCTCCCAAGGGAGAACGACTCTATTGTTATGCCTCCTGTTATGGCTGTCATCACTTGATGGTGAAAAGCTTCTATATCCCCCAAACCCCCAAGTCATACTGCCCCAAATCCCTCCCCTATCCCCAATGCATAAACATTAATTAAATTTTTCGTGTTCAATTTGAGCATAAATTTCGTTTTCTGTGATATTTAATTATTTCTTATGTAGATGGCAGAGACTAGGCAAATACAATCAAGAAAACTTAGTTTCTTGATTCCATTAACGAATAAACTTAGGTTGGTTGCCCCTTTGTTAGACAGCTATCAAAGGACAGACAGACAGACACTAGCGTGACGTGTGCTTCTTTTATAGTTAAACTTTCAAATAAAGATCCTTTAAATTTCAAATGATTCATCAATAAAGCATACCTTTATCTTTATCCACACGGATAACAACCACACACTCGTTCCTACCGACTCTAATAAGCTTATTAATGGAACGAATTCGTCTTCTTGAGAGTTCACTGAGCAAGATCATCCCTTCAATGTTGTTATACTCCAACAGATTGACATAAGCACCCATCTCAGCTATACTACGGACATTTACCATCACCACATCATCCACTTCGGGATAGATATGCTTGTAAAACCTACAACCGATCGGCATTTTGAAGACTTTTTCGGATTTTTCGATCAGTAAAAATCCACCATGTGAAAAGACTGATGCAATGGAACAGACGAGGGAGACTGGGACTAGGTTACTAGGACTACACGGTAATGATGGACACAGGTAGACCAAAGAACGTCATGAAAGATGATGACGTCAGAGTTAGCGAGGGTGTTGCCTCATTCGGTAACGACCAAATGAAAAATAACACATTTTTTTAATGGAACCTTTGGTTAAAACTTCCAAGCTTTTGTCTCCCCGATTAGTAGGGCACTTGTGCCCGGCTAGAAGATATAGAAACATTAATAAAGTTATTATTATTATCATCATCATCATCATCATCATCATCATCATCATCATCATCATTATTATTATTATTGTTATTATTATTATTATTATTATTATTATTATTATTATTATTATAAGCTTTAGCCTTCATAATGTGTATATAAATGTTTGAGGGTTTGACAAGACGAAAGAGAAAGACGAAAAAGGACCTCTGCTAAAAGCTTTTAGACGTTGTCGCATTCCGTTTGAAATGTAATGGACGGATCAAGCCAAGAAAAAGTGAAATGTAAAACGTGGCTTTGAGATTTAATTTTTTCAGTTTTCATTGCAATTTAAAATCTTTGTTTTGAGGAAGACCAAAAATTGATATTTTCGTTTCACAATAATCTGCCTAATAACAGATAAGAAAAGACAACTAGCTAAAAATTTACCCTTTTATCATTACTGCCTAACAGATATCACACTTTTGTCCCTTATGAGTATTTTAAAATTATTTTCGCTTATCAAACAAAGACGGCAAAAGATAATAAAAGTTTATGATGTCATTTTTTAAATTCGTGTCTATGACGTAATGTGTATGTGAAACTACTCGACGACCGCTTGAGTTTATGGGTAAAATACCTTATACATATGAATCGTATCATTCAAATACATACTTACATATATTGAGTTTCAAATCAATATTTTAGGCTGCGTTTATAATAGGGGGGGGG